GGGTGTATTACAAAGTTTGAGAAAATTTCTTTTGAAGTTTAAGTCTGGTCAATAGAATAAATGCAGCCATCTAATTTCACATCCAATGGCCAAGATTAATTGTGCAGACTTTGCACCAAAGATAAATGGTCTTATTGTATACTTTTTTCAATTGTAAATTCTATTGATTTAATAGAATTTGCTAGCCATTTGTCGAGAGAGAGAGAGATTAATTGATGGGGATCGGTCGCAGTAAATCAAGAGAGGTATATACCAATAAAGAACTTTAATATAATTTTAAGGAATATTTTTTCGATGGTTTGTTTACACAGATATAGTGTGAGTATATCATATTTTCTTCAAAAGAATTAAGTTTTGTAATCATACGGAAATCTTGAAAAACAAATTCACTAAGGGCCCTTTTGGGCATATGGATTTTGAGGCTTGGATTTTTAATATCTTGGATATTACTAAAATTCACCGTTTAGTTAGTTCAATGGCTAGGATATTAAAATTCTATGGAAAATTTATATTGGAAAATCACCCTAAATTTCCACGATTCATTTTCATGCCAAAACTTGTTTTTATGAATTTCGAAGGCTTGCGAATTCCCTTCATTGACCCCTCAACTATAAACTTAGAGCACGTTTAGTAGGTATGAAAATATTTACATGATAATACGTGACAAATATAAAAACTACTTCAAATTTTAGAGAGAAATACTTGAAATTTTTTAAGGAGAAAAACTATCTCAAAATTTTTAAAGACAAAAACTATCTTAAATTTTAAGTTTTAGAGAAAGATTATATTAAAATATTAGAGAGAGAAACAATAGCAAATTATAGTGAGATAAAGTACCTATTTTGAAAGAGATAAGCTAAAACTTTTAGAAAAAAACCATATCAAAATTTAAGTTTTAAAGAAAGAAACTATATAAAATTTTACTGAGAGAAAGTGCCTAAATTTTGTAGAAAAAGAAACTATCTTGAATTTTTAGAGAGAGAAACTATCTCAAATTTAAAATTTTAAAAGAGAGAGCATCTTAAAATGTTAAAGAGAAAAACTATATCAAGTTTTAGAGAAAGAACCTGAAATGTTTTCGGGAGAAACTATATCAAATTTTAAGTTTTAGAGAGATAAATTATCTTAAAATTTTAGAGAGAAAACTTACATTAAATTTTATAGAGAGAAACTACCTGAAAATTTTTAGAGAGAGATATCTCAATTTTTTTTAGAGAGAGAAACTATATTAAATTTTAAATTTTATAGAGAGAAAATATGTTAAACTTTTAGAGATAGAAATTATATCAAATTTTAGATGGAGAAATTAGAAAATTTTTAGAAAGAGAAACTATCTAAAATTTTTTAAGGAGAGAAACTATCTTAAATTTTAATTTTTAGAGAGAGAAAGTATTTTAAAATCTTAGAAAAGGAAAATATATCAAATTTCATATTAGAAAGTACCTAAATGTTTTTTACATGGAGAAATTATCTCAAAATTTTTAAAGAGAGACAATCTCAAAATTTTTTGAAAGAGAAACTCTCTCAACTTTTAAGTTTTAGAGAAAGCATCGTAGAGACTAGAGAATAATTATATCAAATTTTATATAGAGAGAGTACTTAAAACTTTTTAGAGAGCGAAACTATCTTAATTTTTTAAAGATAAACTATCTCTAATTTTAAATTTTAGATAGAGAAAGTATATAAAATTTTAGAGATGAAAACTATCTCAAATTTTAAGTAATAGATAGAGAAAATATTTTAAAATTTTAGAGAGAGAAATTATATCAAATTTTGGATAGGAAAGTACCTGAATTTTTTAGAGAGCAACTATCTCAAAATTTTAGAGTGATAAACTATCTCAAAATTTTGGAGAGATAAACTCTCTCAAATTTTAACTTTTAGAGAGAGAAAGCATCTTATAATTTTAGAGAGACTAACTATATCAAATTTTAGAGAGAGAAAGTACCTGGAATTTTTAGAGAGAAACTATCTCAAACTTTTTAAAGAGAAAATGTCACAAATTTCAAGTTTTAGGAGAGAAAGTATCTTAAAATTTTAGAGAGAGAAATTATATCAAATTTTAGAGAGAGAATCTATCTGAAAATTTTTAGAGAAAGAAACTATCTCAATTTTTTTTGAAAAGGAAATTATCTCAAGAATTTAGAGAGAGAAAGTATTTTAAAATTTTAGAGTGAGAAGCTATAGCAAATTTTAGACCGAGAAAGTGCCTGCAATTTTTTAAGAGAATCTATTTCAAATTTTAAGGTTTAGAGATAGAAAGTGTATTAAAATTTTAAGAGAGAAGCCATAACAAATTTTAGAGAGAGAAACTATCTCAAAATTTTTAAAGAGAGACTATCTCAAATTTTGATTTTCAGAGGGAGAAAATATATTAAAATTTTAGAGAGTGAAACTATTTCAAATTTTGTTACCAAACAATGGATATGGAAATGATTGTAAGGAATCAATGAATTACGTATTGTATATCCAAACAAGAGATTTGAGGAAAATAATGACAAAAATCTTTGATATTGGATAGCCATAAATTTTCTTTAGTTTCAAATACTCAAAATTTCTAATTTCTTCCTATCCAAACGGGCCGTCAGTTTTAAATTGAACATTGCTAAACTATGGTCAAAAGAACATAGTGCCCCAAATCTAAAGCCACATATATCAAAATAAGTTTTAATTTATTGAAATTTTAAAAAATAGATTCAATTATGAGAATGCCTATCTATTTTGGACGTCATTCCTTGAATTTAATGGCCATAGGGCCGTTACTGGGTATGGTTTCTATAAGGTTGCAACCTTAAACAATCCAATTAAAGTCACCTCCAAATTTTATCATAACATGTAATTTTAGTATAAATAATTCATAAGATTATCTCAAAATCTATTTTTATATTTAATTATAAAAATTTAAGCTCCAAAAATAGTTAAAATCAAGTAGATCTATAAATATATGAAAATCTTGAAAATGGACTGTCTGAATAATATGTTGTAAGATGCACTATTTTTGGGACGCAATCTTTTTGATTTTTTCATATTCAAACATCTCGATGTGAAGATGATCAATTAAAGGGTTTTTCAACATTAAAATATATTTTTTTATAGATTTTTGAGGTGCATTAACTTTTTCCTACTCCTTTCCTTTCGTTTTTTTTTTTCCTTTTTTTATTTTTTGAATTGACATAACTGAGAGATCACGTAGAATCCATTTAACATGTCGGTGACAGATACAATGTGCCCAGTTAAATTTGTAGCTTCAGAATGGGAAAAGGAGGGTGGTGGGGTGCCACAAGATGTAGTGAGTTACATTCAAATCACAGCGGGGGACAGTAACTTTTAAACATGTTTATAGAGAGCTCAACGAAGCGGCGGATGGGCTGGCTAAGAGGGGCGCATCGTTGGAGTCTTTGGTTTCTCTAATTCTTTACTTTGAATGTTATAATGTAATATCCATCTGATCTAATATGATTCAGTAATCTTGTCAAAAACAAAATCACAGGTAGGTGATGCCTTCCCTGCTGAACTACCAAAAAAACAAAAAGGAACTTCACGTTGAGTTTCTCTCCCTTTCACAACCAATCCCAAGTGCACGTATTGTTAAAAATCGTCCCATCAAAAAATCAAATCTTTAAGAAATGAAAGTAAATAATGGAGTTATTTCACTGCAGTTTTTATAAATGCTCCATGTCCGTTGTTCTAACTTTGAGAGAGAATTTTTAGTTGTTTTCAATCTCAACAAGAAGTCTGAACCCATAAAGTTATGCATGAAACTAGGCTTTTTAGAGCTTGAATTCTGTTTTCTTTTTACTAATTTGAGGAAGCCAAAAAATAGTGAAAATGTTTGTGGGCAGCAGGACCACCCATGACTTGGTTCCATATCATGTCACCATCTTCATCATCTCCACTTCATGTATGGTGGTTTACAGAGACTCCTGTTGAAGTGTTTCTTGTCTTCGCATACATTTGCAGAGTGCTCCTCAATCCCCACTCATTCGACCTGCTGCCTCATTTTCCTCCGAGTATGCATGGCCCATCGATTTGTCGTTGAGCTGACTGTGGCAGTCACGGTTATAGACCTCCATTTCTTTCAAAAATACAGTTAATCATTCTCTAGATTTTTAAATAAGGAAAAAGTTTATATAGAGCCGACCCTCCAGACAAACAAATTAGAGCCCACCTCAAAATTTTTATTAGAAGAGGTAGTTTTGATGCTCAAATATCCTCAAATTGATTATCTCGACATCAAGATGCATGGAAATGAGAAGAAAAATGATTTCAGGTTTCGGAAATAGTGGGTCTTGTAACACATTTTTGGACCACCAATTTTCAAGATTTTCAAGTTTTTCTTAGATCGGTTCGATCTACACTAGTTTTTAAGCTTTAAATTTTATAACTACATATAAACATATATTTTAACACTATCACAAAGGTTTCTAGTATTGAAACCACATTTCTTGACACTATTTGAAGGTGAGATCTACCTTTGATTGTTTAGATACTCAGTCTATACAAACTGCACCCTTTAAATAATGGACTTTTTTTTTTTTTTGAGAAAGTATGAACTTTATTTTTGTTACCATAATATTCTTCCTTTTCATATATATATATATGGAAAAAGATTTCCTAAGATTGGATCGTAGGAAAGAAAACGTTATGTTTTTGAAAAGAAACAATATTGCTTTTACCATAAAAATATAGCCTAAATATTAAGCTTTGAAATTTTTTAAAAGATCTTCAATAAAAGTTCATTGAAGCTACAATTTAAAATAGGTAAAAAAATGTTTTATTTTCTTTCTTTCCTAATGTTTTGCTCATAAAATTTTCAAATTTTGTAGTTGTCTTGAGAAGTTATTTCACAAAGAAATTCTACAGATTGGGATATGTTAAATGAACCCAATCGATTTAGTGGATCCTTTCGGCAGGTCCCAGTGATCATGTATGTGTCCAACCTATCCAATTTTCAGAATGAAATGATCGGTTGTTCGGGGATTAACACTAATTTTGTTAAGAACATGTCATTATTTTTCAGTAAAGAAATCTGATACATTTACAAAACCCAATCACCAATATTATACAAAAAATAAATAAACAAGAAAAAGAATTACATGTTATCATGAGCAAAGTTTGGGCAGTGATCCTCCACTTCCTGGGCTTGGTAATGTTTTCTTCACAATCTTTGACATTTGAATCTGCATTTTTCTGCATATCTTCTCCAATTCCATTACCCTCAATTGCATCCCGTTTAGATGGGCTCTTAGCTCTTCATTCTCTGTCGAGAGGTCCACCTTCTTTGCATAAAAAACGATTTGCTCCTTGCTATAATTGTCTACACCCTTGATTCCCTTATTTCTATAAATGCATGGAGAACTGGAGCCAGATTTAAGATAACCACCATTACTGAGTAAGCTCTTAAGCTTACATTGCTGAGAAACCAGGGCTTGAAGGGCAGTTCTTGATGGGAATTTGGAGTTTTGAGCTAGATGCTTACATGCTTCTAATGACAACTTTTCATAGTTCAATACTATGCAAATCTTTATCTTTTCTTCTTCAGACAACCTTCCATGCACCTAATGGTAAACCCATAAGATCAATATAAATTTACAAAAGAAAATTCAAGAAAGGCAATTTTCCCAATCTTCAAACCATTGGATTTGTTCAAGGCCTTCTCCTAAACAATAAATACTGTTTAATTCATCAAAATCTCAAATGAATCTGGTTGTTCTAGGTTAAAATTTCCAATTATCTCAGATAAAACTCTTAAAAGACAAAAATTGAACTTGGCTAAAGAAAGAATCACCTCAAAATACATGTCTAAGGCTCTGTAAATCCCATCGTAAGAGTCTATTGCTGCATCTGGCAGGGCTTTAATGAGAGCTACAAACTTTGCGGGTCTCAAATTAGAGTCGGGAGCAACCTCCGTTATGTATTTGTCCATCAAGCTCCCCACCGTCTTCAATCCAGTGAGAGAAACATGATGGCTAGAAAGAAACGATTTCAAGAACCTCGAGACCAAGTTGACATCATAGAGATAACTACTTCCTGGAGGAGAGGGAAAGAGCAGGTTATCCATTGTGGCTTGATCAAGCAATGAACCAATCATGGTCTCCAATTCATACCTGCAACTCTTACTGATACCTATGTTGGAACTCACTCTGAGAATTCCAAAGAGCCCTTTGCATGAAACAGACCGTCTCTCAAGTAAATAAAGTAGCCTAACTACAGTCTCTACTAGATCCCTCTTTTGCACTGAATTTGACATTGCAAACCTAGTTGTGACACAGAAAAAGAGGAATTTTGCAAGACATAATTGATCAAAATTCCTTGAAATCATGGTCTGGACTATGGTCTCGATAATGTTAGGGCTCAGAAGCGACAGATCTTTGAACCACCAAGGTCTGAAACTATATTTGGCACTCTCAGAGCTCTTGGTATCACAAGAGAATCGGAAATTAGAGCTCTCAGGAGAAGAACCAGAGGTGCACATATCACTTGTAGAAGCGATCCGTTGAAGCAAACCATCGATACATTTCTTGAGCACCATCGATGAAGCGGGGCCATTTAAGCGAAGATAGCACTGTTTGATTGCCACAAAAATTTCAGGCCAAGTCCAGTATATCATTGTCTCAAGGAATCGATCTGTTTGTTTGATTAAATTGCAGGGAGCGACTTCGTCAGTCATTTCCATGTAGTGGCCCCCCACGTGAAGCAAGCAAACATTAGAAGGGGAAATGGGTGCCCTGCCATTGTTGTAACAGAAGCTCGACATTAGCTCAAAGGCCTCTGGACCGCCAGGTAAGTCATGAAGGATGACTTTCATAGACTGGGAACTATGGTGGCTCACTGTTGTTGCAGAGTTATTGAACAATTTGCTCAGTTTAGCTGAGAAAGATGATAGAATTTTCTGCAAAAAACCAAAAGGTCTGCTTTAGAAGCCTGCTCTATCCCTGTTTGCCCTTTTCGTCTCTCTAGAGAGGAAATTTGAAGAAGCCAATCAGTAGAGAACCATTTGGAACGGTAAAAAGATAAAGATATTGAGGAAAAATCAAGTAATCAGCATTTAATCCTCCAAAATTGGTCTTAATTAAATAGCAGACAATTAAAGAGGAACATTGCCAAAAGGCAAACAGCCAAACAAACTATAAGGGAACCAAGAGTCAATAGAACCATTCTCAAATTTAAGCCTTAACTGGAGAAACTTAATTGGTAATAGGATCATAAATTCAAGGAACAGTAGAAAAACTATGGAGTACGAAAGTAGATAGTAAGAGGAAAAGCTCAGCACTTTTATTTTCGTTAAAATTGTGAATACCCATGGCCAAAGTTTCTTTTTGCAAAGAACCAGCAATATAAAAGCCACTGCATCACAATCACCATAAATCAATATCATTGAGCAAAACAACATAACTTCAATCCTCTACCAAGCCACACCCAAAGAAAAAGAAGAAAAAAAATGAAATAAACCTATTCTCTATAAAAAATTTAAGGAATGGGTACAAAGGTTCAAGCCAAAAGAGCCACAAATTCAGTCTCCCTGCTGAATATAACTTCCATGGAAAAGAACCCACCATGAATCATCTAAGAAACAAAACCAATAAACCCAGAGCAAATCCCTACCAAATCACCACAGAAGAGAGAGAGTTACCTTGTCCACCAAAAAGGTCTGCTCCCCATTGACATCTACTTCCAGATCACACACCAAATGCATACTTCCAATCCCCCAAACCCAAAAATGTCACTCCAAAGTCCAAACCCACTTTATTTCAGTAGTCAATGCCACCCCAGAACCCCCACAACCTCAACAATTCATAAAACAAAAAGAAATCTCATTCATAGCAGAGAGAAGGAGAAGAAACAGAGAATAGCCCTTTATTCTTGAGTGTGTAAGAAGACAATGCAAAAGAAGCCACATTCTGAAGGAAACTACGTGACTTTGCAGCCCAAAAGACGTTGGAGGAAGGCAAATTGGTGTAGAAAGAGTTAGAAAGATGAGAGAGAAATAGAAAACATTTTTAAGGTCTGACATTCCTGCAATTTACATAGTAAGAGAAAAGGTCCAATGGGCAAAACGCTTTCTTCACCCCATCATATTCTATGCCATTGCCAATGCAAGAAAAGAGTCATCCTTACTCCCTAAATATGCACTTCCATCTTCTTATTTTATTCCTTCCTGTTTTCCCTCTTTTGTGTTAGAGTTTATATGTTATTTAATCTTAGATTTTAGGAATTTGTATGTTCTTTAATCCTATTTTTTATTATATTTGCTGCTTTTTTATCATATTTGGCCGAGGCCCTAAACAATCAAAGTGCGGTGTACCTTGAAATAATATTGAAAGATGTTATTTCAGTAACGGAAATCTTTGCGATGGCTTGAAAATTTATTTTCATCTATAATTATAAAATTGATAACTTTAAAAATAGTGTAGATCGAACATATCTATGAACACTTGATAATCATAAAAATTGACATTCTATAAAATACATTACAAAATGCATAGTTTTTAAGACTTGAAATCCGTTTTTTCTCATGTTCATACAACTTAAGGTTGAGACGATCGATTTGAGGATTTTTGGGACATCAAAACAACTTCTTCCAATGAATTTTTGAGGTGCACATTAATTTGATTGTTTACGGCTTGACCCTTATATAATTGTTTTCCTATTTATATTTATGAAAAATATTTTCCAATCTTGTGGGAGTATGCTATCTATCTACTATCTATCTACTTCTTAAGTAAATTTTACATTAGGAATATCTTTTGGGTCACAAATTTTGGGATGTGATCTCTAGAACCTCAAAACCAACATACGAAGAAAAAAAACCAATTTAACTCTTACTCTATGTGTCTTAAAAAATTGCATCTGCCCAGGAACAATCCAATTTTTAGAGGGAATGATCTATATGTTTCAGCATTCAAAGTCCGAACTTCTTCCTTTGAAAAAAATCATGGAGTTATTATTAGATTAATTCCAGATTTCAAATTAAAAAAACTTCCAATTACGTGTTTTTGCAGGAGCGAGTAAATGTATAGCATATGCTCCCCAAAAGCATACGATACGCTCTCTAATTTTATTGATTAAATAATTTGATCCTAACTTTTAGAGAATATATAATCTTTAACATGGAAATCATGATTATAGAAAAAAAGTTAAAAATTAGAAATAATAATTATATTAAGAAACCATTTGGACCGTTAGTTACACTTGTTTTTAGATGAACTACCTATTTGCATTCATCTTTAAGATGGATGCTTTATACCTCTATACCGCATACGACAGAAATGCGGTCTGGCCCGCATGAAACAATTTCTCTTCTTCTATTTTTCTACTTAAACCTTTATATATTATTACAAATTTTTTATTTGTTAACTACAGGGTTTGCTACCTTAGGCGAGTAGACTCAGATGCATCAGAGTTGGTCAGGCCTGACAAGGTACCAAGCCCATAGGTCCTTCAACTCGAGGGGATATAAAATTTATTCGTTGTTCATCTGATTTGATCTTCAATCTAATACCTACACCACCAAACCCCAGTGGCACACAGACATACACATAGACACGTATATGAGATAGAGAGATGTAAATTTATCAAAATTGTCACAAAAGAGACAAATACTTTTATATTTTACCTATATACTTAGTCGAATTCCAAAATACCCAAAAAACAAACATGGTCTTGAGTTGAAATAT